TGCTGGTGGGAATGCAGACTGGTGCAATCACTATGGAAAACAATATGATGTTACCTCAAAAAATTAAAAATAGAACTGCCATTTGACCCAGTGATCCCACTTCTAGGAATATACCCTAAGAAGCCTGAAATACCAATTAGAAAGAAAATATCTATCCCCATGTTTATAGCAGCACTATTTACAGTAGCTAAGGTCTGGAAACAGCCCAAGTATCCATCAGTAGACAAATGGATAACAAAGCAGTGGTACATATACACAATGGAGTACTACGCAGCTGTATGAAAGAGAGATCTCTTATCTTTGAGACTATATGGAGGGACCTGGAAAGTATCATCCTAAGTGAAACAAGCCAAACAGAGAAAGACAAGTATCATATGATCTCACTTATTTGTGGAATATAATGAACATAAGAGTCTGAGGAATGCGGTAGTCCCAGAGACGTGGAAGTGGGGTACAGACTGACAATCCCCAGAAGAGGTGGTGGTGGGGGAGAGATAAACCACAGAACTTATATGCATGAATGCATGAACAATGGACATGGACAACCAAGCTGGGGATAGGGCAGGGAGGGAGGGGTAGGAGGGAATTAGTGGGGGAAAAAGGAGAAACATCTGTAACAAAAATTAATTAATAAAAAAAAAGACAACAGAGTGTTAACATTAAAAATCTAAAAGATTGTACATTTCTAATGTTATAATTAATAAATGAATTTACCATAAAAAAAAAAAAAAAAAGAAAGAAAGAAAGAAAGAAAAGCAGTGAGTTAACTACCAAGGAGCTCCCATAAGACTGTCAGCTGATTTCTCAAAAGAAACTATGCAGGCCAGGAAGGAGTGACGAGATATTCAAGGTGATGAAAAGCAACAACCCACAACCAAGATTACTCTATCCTGCAAAGCTGTCATTTAGACTTGATGGACATATAAAGTGTGTCCCAAACAAGAAAAAGGTAAAGGAGTTCATCACCACCAAACTAGTATAATATGAAATGTTCAAGGGTCTTCCTGAAGGAGGAGAACAAAATTATGAACAATAAAATGGCAATAAATAAATATCTATCAACAATTGAATCTACAAAAAAAAGAACAAGCAGAATAGAAACAAACATAGATACAGAGAGCTTTTTGTTGCTTGTCAGATGGATGGGGGCGGGAGTGATGGGTGAAAAGATAAAAGAATTAAGAAGTACAAATTGGACTTCCGGTCAAGATGGCGGCATAGGTAAATGCGGTATCGCGTCCTCCCACAACCACATCAAAGTGACAACTAAACTACAGAACAACCATCATTCAAAACTGCCTGAAATCAAGCTGAATGGAAGTCGTACAACTACGGAACTAAGAAAAAAAAAGCAGCTACATCCAGACCGGTAGGACAGGCGGCGGCGCGAGGTGGGGCGGCGGCGCGGTAGCGGAGCGCGGCGGCAAGACGGGCTGGTCCCACACCCAAGCGTGGTGGATAAAAATCAGGAGGCTCCCGCGGCTGGGAAGGTCCTTCCTGAGGACTGAGGGGTCCCCGTCCCACACCAGGTGCCCCGTTCAGGGTTCCAGTGCCAGGAAGAGAAGTCCCCATAACTTCTGGCTGGAAAAACCAGCGGAAACTAAGGCTCAGGGAAGCTGAAGCGGCTGGAGCCCCAGGCAGCTCCCTAAAGGGCCCCGCGCACGGACTTATCGGACTCTCTCCCTCTAAGCTCGGAGGGGAGGCAGCTCGAGGGGCGCCAGAGACATACAGGGAAGAACTGAGCTGTTTGGCACTGGAGCGAGCGCTGGAGAGGGGGCTTCCTTGGGGACAAACGTGCTGTCAGAGGCCTTTGTTCCTTTGGTGAGCCCTTCCCGGGGGCGGCAGACAGTCTCCATATCTGGGACTCCAGCAACCTGGCTCACACTGGTAGCCCCGCCCTGCTGACTCCCTGAGGCCCCGCCCCACACAACTTTCAAGCCCACCCAAGCTGTTGCCACTTGCTTAACCATAGGATTGGCCGGTCTTGGATCCTGCTTCAGGGTTTTCCTAAATTCTTTCAAACGAGCAGCACCGGGTCTCAGCGAGCCTCATAGCTCTCATTAAGTAATACACAGAAACAAACACAGGGAGGCAGCCAAAATGAGGAGACAAAGAAACAGGTCCCAAATGAAAGAGCAGAACAAAACCCCAATAAAAGAACTAAGCGAAAGGGAGATAAGCAACCTAACAGATACTGAGTTCAAAATACTGCTTATAAGGATGCTCAATGAACTTAGTGAGAACCTCAGTGAACTTAGGGAGGGCCTCAAGAGCATTAAAAAGGACCAGTTAGATATCATGGATACACAGTTAGAATTAAAGGAGGCATTAACTGAAATAAAGAATAATTTACACAGCTTCAATAATAGAGTATGTAAATCCAAGGAGCAAACCATCGATTTGGAATATAAGGAAGCAAAAAATCCCCAATCAGAACAGCAAAAAGAAAAAAGAATCCAAAAAAAATGAGGATAGTGTAAGGAGCCTCTGGGACAACTTCAAGCGTGCCAACATTCGCATCTTGGGGGTGCCCGAAGGAGAAGAGAGAGAACAAGAAATTGAAAACTTGTTTGAAACAATAATTGCAGAAAACTTTCCTAACTTGGTGAAGGAAACAGACATACAAGTCCAGGAAACACAGAGAGTCCCAAACAAGATGAACCCCAACAGGCCCACACCAAGACACATCATCATCAAAATGCAAAAGGTTCAAGACAAAGAGAGAATATTAAAAGCAGCGAGAGAAAGGCAGCTAGTTACCTACAAGGGAGTACCCATTAGGCTGTCAGCTGATTTCTCAAAAGAAACTTTGCAGGCCAGAAGGGAGTGGCAAGAAATATTCAGGGTGATGAAAACCAAGAACCTACAACCAAAATTACTCTATCCTGCAAAGCTGTCATTTAGAATTGATGGACATATAAAAACTTTCCTAGACAAGAAAAAGTTAAAAAAGTTCATCACTACCAAACCGTTATTATATGAAATGATGAAGGGTCTTTTTGAAGAAAAAGATAAAATGTATGAACAAACAAAATGGCAATGAATACATATCTATCAACAATGGAATCTACAATCAAAATGAACAGGAAGAACAGAAACATTCTCATAGATACAGAGAACATTTTGTTGGTTGCCAGTTGGGAAGGGGGTTGGGGGAATGCGTGAAAAAGGTGAAGGGATTAAGAAGCACAAATTCATTGCTAGACTGACAAACATCAAAGGGAAAGGGGTTGGGGGTGTGGGAAGAAATAAACCAAAGAACTTATATGCATAACCAATGGACACAGACAATAGTGTGGGAAAAGGTGGGAGGGGGGCGGGAGTGGGGAGGAGGGGGTCAATGAGGGAAAAATGTGGAACATCTGTAATACATTTTACATCCAACAATAAAGATTTGGAAAAAATAAAAAATAAAATAAATAAATAAATAAAGTACAAATTGTTTGTTAGACTGATGAACCTGGGCGGGGGGAGGAATGAGATAAACCAAAGAACTTCTATGCATATATGCCTAACCAATGGACACTGACAATAGTGCGGGGAAGGCAGGAGGGGGGTAGAATTGGGGAAGAGGGGGTCAATGGGGAGACATCTATAATACATTCAACAATAAAGATGAGTTAATGTATATGTGTATATATATGAGTGTGTGTGTGTATATATGTATATATATGTGTATATATATGTGTGTGTGTGTGTGTGTATATATATATATATATATATATATATATATATATATATATTATGGGAGCAATTGAGAACTTGCTCATCAGCATGTGTTGTTAGTCTGGCTCAAATAAACCTTATAAAAATTCTCAAAAAACATTTTATTCTTCTTTCAATGTTTATTTAGTATCCAAGGTTATCACACAGTTTGACTATTTTGTTGATTATTTCTATCACTGTTATTAATTATTTCTCAGAAAAATACAAGTAATCATAAAGATTTTTATGAAATAGAAACAAAATTCCTAAAAGGAATTTCCCCCCCAAAAAAGGGGTTGGAGCTATATAGTGGATAGCTGTTTTAGCCCTCAAATATTATATTTCATCAAAACACCAAGGTCAAACAATTCTGTTTTATACTGTGATGACAACCTGAGCATTTACAAATAATTTACTTATTTCAATCAAAAATGGAGAAGAGGAAGTAAGTAAGAATATAAAATAAGATTTTCTATGAATTAATAAATTGTTGAAGATGGGTAATGACATATAAGAGTTCATTATGCTTTTCTATTACATTGAACACTTTCCATAGTAACATATTTTAAAGATTTAAATTATATAATGTAACATAGTAAAGACTTTTTAAAGGGTAAGCAAACTTTTCATATTACTAATCAGTAAAACACTGGAGCTATATATTTAAATGATAAGCCACTGAAAGATGACTATGAGGAACTAAAAGTTGGTCAGGTATGCTAATAATTTGTAATGAAGGAGCTGTGTGTAACAGGAAAAGAATATTGTGATGTAGTTATATAACTAATGCAGAACTTTACTGCCTAATAGAGGTGGTATAACGTCTATGGGTCAGGAAATATATGACTCTGTTGCACTCTCGCCTTTACAAACCTAGCCAGAGAAGGCAAAAACAGAATTTTTAAAGCCCGAGTCACTACTTCTGTGCCACTTAAAAGGAGAAGCTGAAGTTACAGTCCATTATTTAGCAAAAAGCTCATTTATGCAACTTAGGATATAAGAAAATTAACCTAGAGTCAAACAAGTAGCTGAGTCAAACAAACAACTGTTCTACATAACAAAAAAAATTTGCTGGAGGTTGGTAAAAGCCCAGGCAAATAAGGACTTCTGATAGTAATGGCCCCAAAATGAGCACATGGGTGAATTTGAAAATGAGACCTGATTTGTGTTGATATCAAAAGACAGAGGTAACACATGTTCAATTTTAAGTTATTTGCATTGCTGCCATAATGTAAACATCATCCACAAGTTCAGCCTATTTCTAGCGAGGAAGAGGCATAATTAAAAATAATTACCTTGTGATCATTTTCTGTTTTAGAATATGTACAGCCTGCAAAACAGGGAGAAAAATATCCAATATCATCTCTTCCACATACAGCAGAATAAAATGAAAAACATTTACAATGAGAATTGCAAGGAGCTGTCAAGTTTCCCAACTTCCCTGTTCTGTAACCAAAGAGATTGAATAAAATTATAATGCCATTGTATATTTATTAATGTACACATAGAAATATCAATGAGATCCATAAAAATATTAAAATAATGTCTTTTTAACAGCTTTAAGGTATAATTGATATACAATGCACTGTAATGTTTAAAGTTTATAACTTGAAATTTTTTATACTTACACACTTGTGAAACCACCGTCACAATCCTGGTAACCAACAACATCCCCAAAAGTTTTCTCACGCTCTTTTGTAATTCCTCCACCCCATGACATGTGTTGATCTACTTCCTGTCACTATCATTACTTTGAATATCAAAGCATTTTGTGAAATGGAGTAACATACATTTGTATTTTCTTCGCCAGGCTCCTTTCATGCAGCTGATCCTTATTGTGGTCTTTGTGTGGTTATATGTTTCCATGTCTCTTGAGTCAATATTAAGGAGTAGAATATTTAAATAACATGGTGGGTGTTCACTTAACTTTTTAAAACTGTCAGTTTTCCACAATGGTCACATTATTTTACATTTCCACCAGCAGTACACAAGAGTTTCAGTTGCTTTCTGCATTCCTCGTCAACACTTGGTATGATCAATCTTTTTAATTTTACACATTCTAACAGGGATACAGTAATTTCATATTATGATTTTTAATATGAGTTTCCCTAATGACTAATGATGTTGCACACCCTTTACTATATTTATCCTTAAGTATTTTTTCTTGATTCTAATGCTAATGATATTTTTGTTTAATATAAATTTCCAGTTGTTAGTAAGTAGTACATAGAAATACCATAGATTCTTGTATATTGATCTTTTCATCTACACTATATATTTTTTCTTGATACTACTATTAACGGTATTATTTTTAATATTAATTTCTGCTAATTTGTAGGTAGTTAATAGAAATAACATAGATTTTTGTACGTTGATCTTGTATCCTACAATCTTGCTAAACTCTTTTTATTAGTTATAGTGGTTTATTTAATTTTCTATATAGACAAGAGTGTTATGTTCAAATAAACACAGATTTACTTCCACCTTTCCTATCTGGATGCCTTTTATTTCTTTTTCTTACAGTAATGGCCACATACTTCAGTACAATATAGAAGTTAATATAGAAGTCTTCTAAGTAAACAACCTTATTGTGTTCCTGGTCATTCAGTGGTTCATCATTGTCTTAGTCTGCTCAGCCTGCTATAACAAAATCAACTGGGTGGCTTAAACAATAGACATTATGTCTTACAGTTCTGGAAGCTAAGTCCAAGCTCAAGGTGCAGACAGCTTTAGTGTCTGGTGTAGGCTTTCTTCTGGATTGAAGACCACCACCTTCTCAGTGTCCCCTCACATGGTGAATAGATGGAAGGCTCTGGTCTCTTCCTCTTCTTCTATGGTCACTAATCCCACTGTGGTGAGGGGGGCATCTACCCATATCATCTCACCTAAATTGAATGATCTCCTAAAGGCTCCAGCTCCTAATGCTATTGCATAGGATATTACGGCTTCAATGCATGAATTGGGTGGGAGGAAGAAACGCATTCAGTACATAATAATTGCTAAGTGATGCTAGTTTTATATTTTCATAGATTCCCTTCCATCCCTAGTCTCCTAGACTATCAGAGTACTCTTTTGGTATCTATTTACATTATACATTTTTCATTTTTAGTTTGTTAATATGGTGGATTATACTGATTGGTTTTCCAATATTAAACCAGACTTGCACTTCTGTGATAAATCTTATTTGATCACTATGTATTTTCCTTTTAATATATTATCAGGTTTAATTTACTAAGATTTTGTTAAGAATTTTTGTGTCTACACTCATGAAAGATATAGGTCATTAGTTGTTTTTTTTTTCTTACAATGTCTTTGGTTTGATAACAGGATAATGCAAGTCTCATAGAAGGAGGTGGAAAGTATTTATTTCTTTTCAATATTCTTGAAGAATTTTTGTAAAATCAGCTATTCTTTAAATGTTTAGTAGCATTCCCCAGGGAAGCCATTAGATTTCTTCGTGGGAAAGTTTTAAATTACAAATTTGATTTATTTACTAGATATACAAATTATCTATTTATTTTTAAGTGAGTTTGTATCTTCCAAAGGATTTACTCATTTCATGAAAGTTGTCAAGTTTATGGACATAATGTTTTCATGGCATTACCCTATTATCCTTTTAATATTGGTAGACTCTACATTAATATCATAGTGGTCATTTTCTTCCTCTAGCAGCAGTTCTCACCCTGTGGGTCATGACCCCTTTGGGGGTCAAATGACCCTTTCACAGGGGTCGCCTAAGACCATTGGAAAACACATATTTCTGATGGCAATTCATAACAGTAGCAAAATTACAGTTATGAAGTAGCAACAAAAATAATTTTATGGTTGGGAGTCATCACAACATGAGGAATTGTATTAAAGGGTCACAGCCTTAGGAAGGTTGAGAACCACTGAGAGAGGTTTAGTAATTTTGTCCATCTTCTCAATATACCACCTGTGATTTTACTGATTTTCTCCATTGTTTTTCACATCCTACTTCATTGATTTCTAATCTGATCTCAATTATTTTATTTGTTTTACTTTCTTTGGGAACAATTTGCTTTGATGTTTCTAGTTTCTTAAGGTAGAAGCAAATGTCATTGGTTTAAAGCAGTGGCTCTCAACCAGTGGGTCGCAACCCCTTTGGGGCTCAAATAACCCTTTTCACAGGGGTCGCCTAAGACCATCGGAAAACACATATTTCCAATGGCGATTAATAACAGTAGCAAAATTACAGTTATGAACTAGCAACAAAAAGAATTTTATGGTTGGTGGTCACAACATTAGCAACTGTATTAAAGGGTTTTGGCATTAGGAAGGTTGAGAACCACTGGTTTAAAGTTATTATTATTTTTTTTATTATTATTATTTTTTTATCCTCACCCGAGGACATTTTTCCATTTTTTTGTACAGATAGAGTGGGAGGGAGAGAGAGGAAGGAGAGAGAGAGAGAAACATCGACGTGAAGGGACACATCGAGTGGCTGCCATCGCACGACCAACCAGGGCCGGGGACAAACTGCAACCGAAGATGTGCCCTTAGCGGGAACCGAACCCGGGTCTCTCCAGACCGCAGGCCGACGCTCTAACCGCTGAGCCAAACTGGCCAGGGCTAAAGTTATATATATATTTTTTTAAATATAGCCTTTTAATGCTATACATTATCCCCTAAATACTACTTTAGCAGAATTCCACAAATTTTGTGTGTTTTCACTTCAAAATACTTTCCAACTTCCCTTTTAAAAAACGTATTTGAACCACAGTTTAGTTAGAAGTTTGTTATTCAGTTTCCAAACACTTGGGGCTTTTCCAGAATAATTTCTTATTAATTTATTCCTAATTTAATTTTATCATGGTCAGAAATTTAATTCCATTTATGATTCGATTCTTTAAATTCACTGTGATTTGTTTTATAGACTTTGATATGCTTTGGTGAGTGTTTCATCGCTTCAAAAGAATATGTATTTTGCTTTTTTAGATGAAAAGTTCTACAAAAGTCCATTGTTTTGTATTATCGCTGGATAATTTCGGCTTATTTCTGTTAATTATTAATTAAAGAGATACTGAAATATCTCACTACACTTGTGGATTTCTACATTTATCCTTGTGGTGTAAAGTTTTTGCTCCACACATGTTAAAGCTGTTTCATTAAGTTCAGAAACAGGATTGTTATGAATTTTATGAATTGACTACTTTATATTTTATAATAACATTCTTTATTTCTGCTAATTTTGTTTGCTTTCAGATCTACTTGCTCTGATATTATCTATTTGGTTTTTTTTATTTTTTTACTACTGTTAACATGATACATCTTTTCTCACCCTTTCACACATAATATACTATGTGTATGTTTAAATTACATTTCTTTTATGCACCGTATGTAATTGGGTTTTGCTCTTTTAGGAAAATCAAATTGTAGATTCTCTGCCTTTTAATTGAGATATTACAACCATTTACATTTAATGTAATTAGCAATATGAGGAGATTTGAATCTATCCTCTTTCTCTTTGTTTTCTATTTGTCCTATCTCTTTGTTCTTTTTCCAAAACATATACTTTTGTAAAACTCTATTTTAAGTCCTGTGTTGGCTTATTAGCTCTGACTTATTTTTATTTTACTGACTGCTTCAAAGTTTATACTATACATTTTAACATAACACAGTCTACCAACATATATTAAACTCATATTACATGTTAATGTTTTAAAAAATTATATAAAGAGATTTAAATTTTTAAAAATTTACCTATATAGTTATTTCCTTTACTCTTCTTTGCTTTGTGTAGATCATATTTTCATATAGTATCATTTTATTTCAGGCAGAAAGCCTTCCTTTAACACTTCATGTATTCTAAGTCTGTTGGTCAAGTATCATTTACATTTTTTATGTCTAAAATGATTTCTCCTTTATTTTTGACAGATATTCTGGGTTAATATAAAATTATAGGTTGACTTTTTCCGTACTTTAAAAATATTGTTTAACTACTGTCACCCTCATCTTCGGCCTTTTGTATTTTTCCACCACTTGCTGCTTTTAAGATCTTTTCTTTACACTTATTTTGAGCAATTTGATTATTATGAACCATCGTGTAATATTCTTGTATCTTGTGGTGAAGGTTTGCTGGTTTTAAGTCTGCAGCTTTATAGTTTACATGATCTTTTAAATTTTGGACGCAATTTTGTCAAATATTTTCTTTCCCCAAGCCCCCTCCTTTGGGAACTCCAGCTACACATATAGTTGTCTTGGTTCATTTTTATTAATGTGCTTTTCTCTGTGTATCCTCTTGGGAGGTTTTTATCACTTTCAAGTTCACTAATGTTCTGCAATGTCTAATTTATCATAATATCATACAGAGTATTTTTCTCACATACTCTAGTTTTCACTTCTATATGTACAATTTGGTTTAAAAAATTTTTCTACTTAACTTTTTGGACATAAGGTACACTGGTATAACAACTGCGTTAAGGTCC